TATATATATAATATATATATATAATATAAATATTGTATGTATATTTCCAGCTTGGGATCAATAAAGTATATCTATCCTATCTATAGCATTGGATTTCTCTGCCTGTTTTACAGTTTTCCTGGTTTACTTTTTAGAAAATTATTTGCACATCTCAGGGCAGAAAATACACAAGCACAATGTTTTGATACAGAAGCCTGGGTTAACAGCTTTAAGAAATAATTGCTGATGTAATTGGTTGGTTTACAATTAAACATTTCTTCGTTTGTCTTTATTCGGACAAAACTAATTTCATGTACTCAATGTATTCGATAACTGAACATGCTCATAAAACAAAACAGATTGTGAGAGGGTCAGATAAGTAATTGGAGAGCTTACAGTGCATTTGTTCTTTCCTGAGTAATTATCTATCCACAAGAGAGAAATGGTTCATTGAAGTTTCAAGGGTAGAAGTTGAATTCAAAGCCAAAAAAATTAAGAATACGCGGCATCTTGCAGATTGAAGTTAAACTCTCTTTAACAGACAGAGTCAAGACAAATTTTTCATGTTCTTAAATAAAAATGCTCTCTGATTGGAAACCTTGGTGGTTTAAGCTAAGAAGTTTCCAATTCAACCCTGGAAAGCAAAGCATATCAAAGTATCTATGCGACTACATATTGTAGCTGATGTGCAAGTTTTATGATCCATTTACCAAAAGTACATGTAGTATTTTTACAATTCCAGATGTAAAATGGTAAATTTACTCGTATAGCTCCTTTCTAGTCTTCCGACCACTTAAAGCACTTTTACACTATATGCCCTTTCACACTCATTAACACAGTGATGGCAAAGCCCATTGAACAAAAACTCGGGAGCAATTTGAAGTTCAGTATCTTGCTCAAGATACTTCAAGATGTGGCGGGAGGAACCGAGGAGCGAACCAACAACCTTCCAATTAATGGATGACCTCTGACCCACAGCCGCCTGGTAAAAACCTCAACCCGATCCTTTTTTTAAAGGAACAACTTAAAACTTTAACATTGACCATAAAGGTCGAGCTTGAACGGCAGCTTCATAGCACCCCAAAATGAATATACTAAACACAAAATGTGTTTTGGTGGTTGTCAATTTACCTACCAGAGTAGCCAAAATCAATATTTAATGTGAGCATGAGTCTCCGACTTACCTCTCGTCGCCGTGACGCCCAGCAGCTTTGTTTGATCTTCCAAACCACGGCGGCCACCAGGAGCAGGGACAGGAAGCAGCTGCGGACAGACAGGAAGAGACGAGTCAAAAAAGGAGCAAAAGACTGATTAACAAGTGAAAAGAAATGAGAAAAACTGGGAGCCCTGGGCACATTCAAGGTCCCATTTGTAGCTCAGTGCAAAACTATGTGCATCAGTTTCTGTCATAAATAAATTAATTAATGAGTACTGATTTTCTCTCATGCATATTCATGTGTGTTTTGTGACGCATGCCAGAAGAGGTGATTACAGCCCACATCAATCCGTATTATTTTTAATGAGTTACAGGTCTGAAGCTTGTGAACCAATCTGTCTCCTGATAAAAAAGTCATAAGCTCCTGCTCTGCTATGATAAGCACAACCTTTAAAGTTGTTTTGACATATCACTGCAGTTTGTCCCGTCTGTACTGCACCTCCAACAGCATGTTATAATAAGTTATCACCAACTGCTAAAGAGGATGAGAAGTTATCCAAATTTCTTTGCAAAAAATAAGTAGACCCTTTTTTTTTTTTTCAATAACTGAGCCTGCTTTAAACAGAAAATGTGACCAGATAAAGAATAAACAGTTTACAGTTACAGTTCATAAATTAATTGAGCATGATTCACAAGATGCAAGGTGCAAGTGTAAAACAGTGCCAGACAGAGAAAAGTAGCTGTCAAGAGAGGTGGAGTTATGAGGAAAAAAAAACTACAAATTGCCATCTACACCTTGCACTTCACTCCATGAGATTGCAAGGAGGTCTGGGAGGGCGGTAAATCAGACACACACGATTGTTTCCTTTGTCAGCACCTTAACATCCATTCACAAACATACTTTAACTTCAACTGTGATTGTATTATTACTTGCATATCAGTTATTTTATGTCCCGTATTTTTATTATTCTGGATGATTCCCCCTTCTCTGACGTTCAATAGCATCTTTGTCATCTCAATTTGTTTTTTCTGCACTTTCTTACTTTGACTGAATATGATCCTTTTTGCACTGTGGGATATACATTTTTTTTTTATTTCTGCTTGAGCACTTAATGTTCCTTTTTTACTCCATTTTCAGTGTTTTTCACGTTTGCGAAAATAAAATATACAAAAAATCAAAACCCTGAGTGTTCTTTGCACTTTATACAAAATTGCCTTGAGGTGATGAAGGCAGGACTGACATGTCTTGGAGGTGGTTTGTTAGCTGTGTCAGTGTGTGTGTGCATGCGTGTGTGTGTGTTCCCTGTCTCCTTCCACTTCCCCAGGCTGCTTTCACACTTGCACTTAGGAAGCTGTGAAGAAGACAGGGAAGGAAAACCATAAAAATAAAGACAAAGAGAGCGTGTGTGTCTGTGTGTTGTGTGTGTGTGTGTGTATACATCAGAGACAACATCTCCTGCAATCTGAACTTCATTCCCTGACTGTCGAGCCTTTTGCTGATTCCTGTCAGCGTTCCTGTGGCTCTCTTGCCCAGAATTCCTATATTTCAGCTCACATCAGTGTTGGCAACTGGCTGATGGCAAAAAGCCTGAACACCAACGATCCAAACATCATTTTGTATTTTCCTCCAGGAAAAAAAATCCAGTGTAAAAATAGAAATTTGCACATTCAAGTTTTATGTCATCTTTGAAGGCTCAATTTTGACACGTAAAAAACAAACAAATTCCTTCCGAAAACTGAGCAGTAGGAGACTTAATTATGTCACAATGAGGCAAAATAAATATATGTCTGAACTGAGTCATTATGTTTTATTTAGGGTTTCATAGTCTAATAGGCTACATTAACATTACATCAAACTAGAAGGTGCATCAATATTCTCATAATACAAACTTAGTTGTGTAAAAGTCTGATCACCATCACTGCAGCAGCGTTTACGATCTAATTTAGCATTCATACAATTAACACCCAGTTTATTCCCAGTGCCATGCATTCAAACACTGTATTATGTAACAGGAGAAAATGGCTAACAGTCTAAATGATGTTAATTGGGTTCTATTTGATGTTTGGCTTGCATGTATATAGTGTTGTATAAACATAATTGCTGCTTACTTGAGAGATGCTCAACACTACTGATGTGGCTGTTTACATGCACACAAGAAATCAGAGAATGCAATTACACCCTGCGCCAACTTGGTTACTGTAAAACAGATGCAGAGGTGAATGATCACATTTCTATACAATACAATGCTTCCTCAGCTTCCTGCCTGTTTGTGTCTGTTTGTTTGTGTTTGTGTTTGTGTTTGTGTGTTTGTGTGTTGTGTGTGTGTGTGTGTGTGTGTGTGTGTGTGTGTGTATCAGTAATCAATTCACAGTCTGAAAATTACATATAGTCTAGAGTAATATAGATTTCTGGACTTTGTGTTGGTTTCATTTTTTGTTGGACCATTAGTTGAATTATCCGTATGTATTTAGACGTGAACTCTGCTTTCACAGCGATACTTGTCTAAAATTTTTGTTATGGGATAAGATTAACATTTATTGCTCCCCTTAAGGGGAAATATGGGTCTTAATAAGTACGGATAATAGTGCGATATAGTCAGCAAAGCAAAGTCAGCAAAGTATAGTAGGCTATATATATAATATGATCCAATCAGATATAACAGTGTACCCCAGAGCTTGTGGGTAATGTATATCTGGGCATGTATATTGATTTGCATTTATGACAGTTAACAGTGACTATGTATGCATGCTTTGTGTGGGTCTGTCTTTTTCTTACTCTTTACCCAGTAGTCCTCATAAATATAGCGTTTTGTTTTATTACTTTTATTCGCTGCTGTACTGCTGATTGTATCTCAACAGTCAAATGATAATAAAATTATGATCACCAAAATATTATATATCATGATTATAGGTATATCGAGTACTTTATTAGTCCTAGTGGGAAATCTGTATCATTAAAGCAGCTTAGAGCAAAAAAAAGATAATGACGAAGACAATGAGCCAAAAATTATACACATGCATTATTATTTAAAAAGCTGAATAGAAACTCTGATAACATGGTCAAGAAATCAGTTTTCTCCAGAGAAGTCCAGCTGGTTACTTCAGTGCACGTGAACACCCCTTTTTCAAATCCATATTATAGTAATTCATATTTACAGTGCTGATTATATTTACTGCTTTGCAACTGTTTACAAATGATGCCACAATTCACTGTAATTCATTTTAATTCAGTTGATAATTAACATGTTAATATAAACACACGGTTTGATTTTTAATTTTCAGTCAAGTTTTCTAGAAATTAATGTTTACAGTTTGATATAGTCCTAATGGCCTAAAAGTAATAGAACAACAGTTTTTTGGTGTATTGTCATTAAAGCTAGAGGCTATTTATGTCAACAGAGAAACCTTGCTGCATGACTACAGTATAGTCACTTATTTATTGAAAAATGGAGAATAAAGTATTGTTTAAATTGTACTACTCCCTAGAGTCCACCAAGTCCCTGCAGCAGTATTCAATGCAAAATTACTGGGATTGATCAGTGCGATCTTTCATTGATTTCTGTGTACATTTAACCACACTGAGACTGATATATAAAAATACATTGTTTGCTTGATTGTTCCCCAGTGCAGCTGATTTTCTTCTTTTGTTTAAGATCACAGGAATAATGGATGTGAATTCCCTTTCAGGGGTTAGAAGAGGATTTAATTAGAAACTCTAAGTTGAAGGATAACTTCTCCAGACATTCGGGCCTTCCGGCAAGACCCCTCACAGATTTTTCTCCAAAGTTTTACCACCTTTTCAATCTAAATGCCTTTGCCCATTTTAATACTGGCTGTGATGCGTTCAGATCTTCATTCATCGCTCTTAACCCCCCCCCCCTGTGTGACTATTTAAAGTGCCATCCATTCAGAAAATTCCCTTATCTCTCCAGGCTGAAGAGGACTCTTAAGCGATCCATCCGTTCAGCCATCTTATTGATCTGGCTTCCTGCTAGCTGCTTAAAGAGCGACACGGTGCTGATGAATGACCCGCGTGAATAGATATCAGCCCCGCGTCAAAGGCCTCCCTGCTCAGCAGGGTGGGAGGGAAGAGTAGGGGGAGACAAAGGATGGGAGGAGAAGGAAAGACAGAGGGACAGTGGGAAATGGACAGTAATGGTGCAAGATAGAGAGATAAAGCAAAGGCAGATAAGAGATTATAAAATGCAAGCTAATTTCAGAACAACGGCCAAAGAAAGAAACAAATAGAAGACAGATATAGAAATATATTGACAGTGAAACACAAAACATTTCGAGTGCTACTCGAGTGCAACTAGTTGTTGAGCCTACAATGTCAATTATTGTGGGCTTATGGATCTGCACTTTAGACTAAAGTTTAGCCAAAATCTGGAGATTCAACTGATTCCCTTACCGTCCGTTGCGTAGTTTATTCATACTAGTATGTGACAATTTCTGAAATGATGCACTCAGGGAATACAGCCAAAAGTGAGCGTGGGCAGCCTTAACGCTGCGTTAAATGTAGTCACACAACTCCTCTTGCTGCTCAAATCAGCTGCTATGCTCACATATTCTGCCCTCCATTGTGCACAAATCTAATACTGCTCTTACAATTCAGTGTCTGAGAATGAGGTACGCTCAAATTAGTTTTGTGCTCTCTAAAATCTTTTGTCATCAATATACTT